GCAAGCACTTCTCATCTTCCACAGTGAAAACAGAGGCAATAAATGCATTCAGCTTCTCTGCCATTTCCCTATCATCCTTCAGTACTCCTACCCCTTGGTCATCCAAGGGCCCCACTGTCTCCCTGGCTGGTTTCCTGCTTCTAATGTATTTGAAGAAAGTTTTATTGTTGGTCTTTATGTTTTTTGCTATATGCTCCTCATATTCCCTTTTTGCCTGCCTGATCACAGACTTGCATTTTATTTGCCACAGCCTGTGTGGAGACCGTCTCTTTTGTACAGCTCCCTCTTCTTCCAAAAAGCATCCCAGTGCCTAACAAACTTGAACCCTTCCCCCCTACACCATTGTCTCATCCACACATTAAGACTCCTGATCTGTGCCTGTCTCTCCTGCCCTGCGCGTGGAACAGGTAGCACTTCTGAGAAGGCTACCTTGGAGGTCCTGGCCTTGGGTTTCCTGCCTAGCAGCCTAAATTTAGCCTCCAGGACCTCACAACTGTATTTCCCCACATTGTTGGTGCCAACATGTACCACGACCACTGGCTCCTCCCCAGCACTATCTACTAGCCTATCTAGAACATGCGTAATGTTCGCTAACTTCGCACCAGGCAGGCAAGTCACCATACGGTCAGTACGTGGCTTTGCCACCTAGCTGTCTACCTGCCTAAGGATCAAATCACCAACTACCAAGAGCCCCCCTCCCTGCCTAGGCATGGTTCCTTGGTGCAAAAGGATACCCGTTCACCAGCTGAAGAAGAGGTCCCTTCTGAGGACATATTCCCTTTATCCTCAGCATGGTGCCCTGTTTCCTCTGGACACTCATCCTCCCTGACAGCAGCAGAGCTGCCATATTCAGAGTGGGACATATCTAACAAGTCCCCAAGAGTCTTCTCCATGCACCTGACTGTCTCTGCTTCTCCAGGTCAGCCACCTTGGCCTCAAGGGAGCAAACTCATTCCCAGAGAACCAGGAGTTCCGTGCGCCAGGAACACATCCAAGACTTCTGTCCAGTGCGCAGATAGTAATACATGTGCAAAACACTGGATAGCCCCCAACTACCTGCTGGCATTCTGGCTTCATAATTGCTTTAAAAATAATTATTATATATAATCCCCCTTTTAAAACCCTTTGTATTTATGTGGTTCTCCTTGTAGAAGTCTACTTACCTTACTGGAAACTCAAGGAGACTAGGGCCCTGGCTTTCTGGCTCCTCCTGGACTTCTTACAGAGCCCCTAGTCTAAGAGTCCCTAGGCTAAGAGCCACAGGCCAAGAGCCCTTTGGCTCATGGCTCTGGTGAAGTGCTGCATTAAATAGAAGCCTCACCCAGCAGAGGGCGGGGCCAGCAGCTATTCAAATTCACCCAGGCAATCCAATTACAGTCGAACAATGACCCTTTCTCACCCTATCTCAAGTAGCCAGGACTCTGCAACAATTCAAAACTCACCTACACACTCCCAAACACAGTCCACCCACACAGTACCCTCAGCTAAAATCACCTCAGCTGAAAACAAATAAAAAAACACTTACCCCTCTAGCAACTCTGTTTCCAGCTCCTTCTCAGGGCTCAGCTGGATCCCAGTCTGCCCCTTGCAGGAAGGACTTCAGATAGCAAGGAGTTAGCTGGCAGGTGATGGAAGATGTAAGAGCAATCGTCTTCTCTAATTTTGTAGAGATTCTCAAGCTTTGTGGCTGATGCACATGCAGGTTTTGACCATAATCCCATCATGATATCTGGCACATATAAGACCTTCATGATAGGGTTGGTGGGTTGGTGTTCAGAAGCTAGGTAACACTAGGCCCAGTGCCTTCGCCATCTGAATCAGGGGTTGAGAGAAGAGTTTTAAATCCTCTGTCAGTGACAGGGCTGATAGTTCACCCACAGTGTCGTCAGGTGATGGCACAGATGTGCCATCTGAACCTGTTTCTGAATCACAATCCAGACGTCCTCATTTTGAAAGAATGGTCTCAGTGGACACATGAAAGGAGTGTTGGTGGATGTTATGCTTTGTACTTGGCAGATGGTTGTTACAATTGCCAAGGGGAGGAGAATCCTTGTTATTGCCAATCACTGGGCCCCCACTGTAGCTTATGGCCCATAACTGACTCCATGGTCTGAGATGGGACCTCATAGACATTGTCACTGAACGAACTTGAACAAAGAGGTTCATGCACCAATAGTGATGGCATTCTCAGTGCCATGAAGGTTCCAATGTCCATCAATGCTGGAGATGGATGGCGTCAAGGTGACAGCAATTGACAGTCCCTCAGTGTTGAGGGTTGGCTGTGGGGCAAGATTCTCAGTGTTGAGCCAGAGAGTCTAGTTACCTCGAGGGGAGAGCGATTCCCAAGTCTGGGGAGATGGTGAGCATCGGTGTTGAGGTGACGATAGATGTTGTTGAGGAGATCTGGACTGGCGTTGAGGGGAAGCCCGTTGGTTATGTTTTGACTTCTTTTTGGCCTTTTTTGATAGTGGTTCTGACATAAAACGTGTCAGTACTGAGGCTCACAGCTGTTTCTTGGAGTGAGACGGTTTTCCAGCTTGTTTTTCTGAATCTTTCAGTGCCTTTTCCTACAATGCTGCTTTAAGCCTAGCAGTTCTCCCTTCATGGGCTTTTGGTGTAAGTTGACAGCATGCTGGGCACAAGGTCGTATTGTGCCCTTTGCCCAAACAGAATAAACACAATTTATGGTCATTGTTTTCAGCCATTTTGGCTCCACATTCCTCACACTTCTTAAATAAAGCCATCCTACCGGCTTTTATGATCAATGATGCAATCTCCAGGTGCCACAAAAGTCTGAGGAAAAAGTAGGTCGGATAAATTCATCTTCTTATGGAGACAAAAAGAGAACTGAGGGGAGAGCACTCACCCTGCCTTCACCATGTGACCCTTTGGACATGAAAGGAGTTACTGGAGATGAAGGGGAGTGGGAGCACTCTCAGGTTCTGGAAGGTTCTACTAAGCTTGGAAGCTCTTTCTTCGTGGCTGGCCTACAACTGCGGAGCCCCATGTGCGACTCCACAGAAGCCATAGCAATGACAAAAGTGTTCTCCATCTTCTAAAGCATGATATAGATGCAGAACAGAGGAAAAGATAGCATACATATTCTAAAACTGCATGCTGTACTTTTCCTTCCCCAACTAACTTATTACTACTAAGAGCTCTGTAAGATCCCAAAAGTATACAGATAACTAAGTTCATTTTAAACCCAGCATCCTCAAAGCTTGAAGTAGCCAAAAACAATGTGATCCTATCCACTTGTTCTCATTTTCTTGTACTACACAAGTCAAACTGCACACCAGTCTATGCCACCCTCTCAGAGGACAGATGTTCCTATGTGTCCTTCCCATGCTCTGCATGCTCTTCCAGTGCTCTCCCAATGTCTCTTATTAGTCATTTAACCATTGCCTAATACAAAAGTACTCCTCTCTCTGAGGTCTTATGTTATCCTTCCTTTGTTTGCATCTACTGAAAAACATTTACAACTTACATTCCGCAAATTTAGCAGGCTAACAATTTATTTACAATACTTCAGTATAAACAGGAGACTGTGCAGCACAGACATGAGACAGTATTTATTTTATATCCCCACCCTTCTAGCAAAGTACCCAGGGCAGCCTATATCACTCAATTATTCATTTTTCCAGTGTAAACATCTAGGGGTGATATTAAAACAATAATGCAATTATTACAATAAATGTCAATTGTTGAATGAGTTTAATAACACTGATTAAGGTAACATAGTTTCCTTATGACACTCTATTTCCAAAGTAAAAATCAATTACATAAAAACAAAGGGAAAGCAGAGAGCTGTTATAAGGTCAACATCAATGGTATCAATTGCTACATTACTGAAGTACGGAAAGTTACTGAAGTATTCATACTCACTCTGTTCCTGTGAGCATTGATTGATGCATACCGCACTGTCCCTCTGAAACCAGCAACAGCCCGGGGCTATAAGTGCATGCAAGGGGATAAAATACATTTTCAATATTAAAGAGTATGACATACATATCAGAATAACATGGGCCCTCAACTTTGGACTCTTTGAAATCATTGTCTAATTAACCAAATTGCATTCTACCAGAATATCTATACCCAGGCAACCATTTATAATTTGTCCCTCTTTTGTTTCTTTTTGCCCAGCAGCCAACATGTAGGTCTTTTGTCCTCATTTTTCATTAGTACCTTAACATCACCAGCAATATATTTTTATTTTTTAAAACACCAAAATTGTATAATATATTCTTATTATTATATTACACAATTAAGAAACTGTCTAGGAAGATTCCTTTAGCATTACTATTATTAGCCTTGGTCAATCTAGTGAATGATATGATCTGGAAGAAGGATAGGGGAGCATAACCCTGCTAATTCTCCTGGACCACTCAGCGGCTTTTGATACCATCGATAACGGTATCCCTTCAAGTAATGTGCTCTGTAGGAAATGAAACCAAGATGCTGGAGTGGATCTTTCCCTTTCTTTTTCTTTCTGATTATTTGATCCAGTGAGAAGCTATAATAGACTAACAGAGACTTTTAAGACATTTCTCTCTCTTTTCACTTCTCCTTCTTTTATCTCTCTTTTCTCTCACTCTCTTTCCTTCTCCCTTTCTTATCCAATCAAGTTATACTGGAGAATATAAAATTGAATTGTGGGCTATATATTGAACATTAGGATTTAACAGGGCTTTTTTTTTTGAAACTCAAGAGGGGAAATGAAGTTTTCAATCTGTATACTGAAAACTCAGGAACTCTTCGACATTTTAAAAAGAATTTTCTTAAAGAGATTCTGGAACTGTGTTCTGGCGTGTTCCCCCAGAAAAAAAGCCCTGGGAGTTAAGCTATTTCCCTTTTTTGCCCTTTATCCAAATTGTTTACTACATAGGTTCTATATAAGGATTTAAGATAACACCTTTTTTCTTTATAACTGATACATATCATATTTTGTCCATTCTAACGGTTTTATATTTATGGTAATATTCATTCACATAGATAACAATATATGGAAATAGTGTATGTAAAATTGTATAATATTTTAAAAGAGAGAACAGCAAAAAGAAGAATGGCATCTGGAACACATCAAAGAAGATAACAAAGGAGACAATGCTGATCAAGCCACAAAAGAAAACTACGTAAAATTTTATAGTATTGCATTTATGCATCTGTGTTTTATTGTATTTATTGTATTGTATTGTATTTTAACTTGTACGCTGCCTTGAACCTGCCTGTGCAGGAAAGGCAGGATATAAATAAAAAATAATTAATAAATAAATAATATACCATTGGAAAATACCTTTTGTAATAGAGGTATACCTACCAAAAGGCAGAAGAATAATAATAAAAGAAGAGCAACCTGAATAACTGGGTGAAGAACTGCAAGCAGAAGAATCAAAAAAGTGAGCTAAGGAAAAATCCTCAAGAAATTCAAGGTAAAACGTACTGACCAAGAGTTCAGAGGGAGAAGCAGACACTGAAAAGGACAAAATGGATGTGATAGCAGCACTGGAGCAAAATGGATAAAATCTGTGAAGATTAATGGAATGAACTCTCCTTCTAAACGTACAGAATTTTCAATCAGTTAAAAAACCAAAATGCAGATGTTCTATGTCTACAAGAAACTCACATAAAGAAGAAATATGAACATATGAGGAGCATATAGCAAAAAACATAAAGACCAACAATAAATCTTTCTTCAAATACATTAGAAGCAGGACACCAGCCAGGGAGGCAGGGAGGCCCTTGGATGACCAAGGGGTAAAAGGAGTACTGAAGGATGATAGGGAAATGGCAGAGAAGCTGAATGCATTTTTTGCCTCTGTCTTCACTGTGGAAGATGAGAAGTGCTTGCCCACTCCAGAGCCGCTGATTTTGGGAGGGGTGTTGAAAGACCTGAGCCAGGTTGAGGTGACGAGAGAGGAGGTCCTAAAACTGATAGACAACTTAAAAACTGATAAATCACCAGGCCCAGATGGCATACATCCAAGAGTTCTGAAAGAACTCAAATGTGAACTTGTGGATCTCCTCCTTCCCCAGCCAAAGTTCCCCTCCCTGGGTAGGCTTGAGGTGTGCGTGAGGGGAGCAGAGAAGGAAAGCAACTTTAACTTTAAATGTGTTCGCAAAGCCCCTTTCCACTGGGTGGCTTGAAGAAGGCATTTGTCTCTTTAAATCCCTTCTCCAAGCCAAGCCAGCTGACGTGGGGGCATGGGGCGGGGCGGCTTGGAGGACGCATTTAAAGTTAAAGTTGCTTTCTTTCCACATCTCCCTCACTCCCCCAATCTATTTGCGCTCTCTCTCTCTCTCTCTCTCTCTCTCTCTCTGTCTCAGACAAATAAATATCATTAGCAAACAAATAAATATCACTGGCCAACTAGAGATCATTATCAATATCTGTTTTTACCCCTCTTGTTTTTATTTCTGGCAGTCTCATTTAATATTAACAAAGAGCAAATTTGCATATTTTCCAATAAAAATCGTGTGTGCAATATTTGCTCATGTCTAGCGGCTCTCAGACATCTGACAGTTATTCTATGTGGCTCTTACGTTAATCCAGATGGGCCACCTCTGGGTTAATAGGTAGGGTAGGGTGCCTGATTGACTCCATTTCATTCATTTTTTTTGCTCATAGACCCACAAGTCATAAGCAAATAGGGTATAATACAAAATACAACATATATATACATACAGTACATTACAATTACAGTTACAATTTCACAAAATTAAGCAATTTGGTTACTAAATATATATTAACTGCATAAAAGAGTCAATTCATTTAATACCACCCAAGGTTACAGATAAAAACCTTGCCACTGCCAACGTCACATTTGGATCAGTATCAACTAAGAAACAAGTACAAGTTTATTATTACGGTCATAGACCAGTATAATAGAAGACAATTAAATACAGTTACAGGAGCAGTAAAATTATAAAATATATCGGCATCTAAAATTATAAATAGGATCTAAAAACGTTAAAATACAGAAATAATAGAATCAGAATTTTGATTAAAAATTAGGTTTAGGCCTATCTGTCCTTTATCTCTTTCCTAGTTTGGTATGCCAACCAACCAAATTTGGCAACCATCCTAGTCAACTTTTGATTATCTCCTGCCAGCATAATTGACAAAAGTATCCTTCTATCACGACCTGGAAAGGAATTAACTATAGGCTTGATCAAAACTTCCCTGGTATTATGATATATAAGACAATCGAAAATTACATGTTCCAATGTTTCATCAGATCCCATCCCACAAATACAACTTTTCCTCAATGATCTAGTAAATCTGGCCTCCATTATGGCTGAGGGTAAGGCGTTGTATCTTAATAGGGTAAAAATTCTTCTATGATTGCTGATATCTAAATATTTGATGTAAGGTCTCACAGCTATCTTGTTAAGTGAACTTACATCAAATACAGGGCTCCTAATCCTGCTCACGTCCATCTGTCGTTCGACATCTAATATTCTTTGTTTTAGAACTGATCTAGCCCGATCGTGTCCCAAAGACAGAATAAACTGTTTTGAAAAACCATAACAGACCAGTTTATCTTCTATCTTTTTCCGCCATGAAGGAACAAAGTTATCTTGCATCATAGTATGGGAAAGGCCAATGGGTAAAAAAATCAATTTTAACCAATAGTAAAATGCAGCAATCCACAATCTTGCCTCGACCATAACCAGGCCAGCCTCTAAACGGATTGCAGCATTTGAAACGCTTGTTGGAACTTGAAATATAGCTCTTAAAAATTTCGATTGTGTTCTTTCAAGTAAGGTCAAGTTTGTCAGGAGAGACAAAGGAGCTCCATATAATAATTGGGGTAATACCTTTACAGTGAATAACTTAATGGCAGCTTCTAAGTTACGACCTCCTTTGGACCAGAAGAACCTTTGAATAGCTCCAGCGCTTTTCTTTGCATTAGCTGACAGGTAATCAACATGGCCTTTCATATGACCGGACGACTGAAATACAACTCCAAGGTATCTATAGCAACGAACTTGCTCAATGGTACGAGAGTCAATAACCCATTTAAACATCCTAGGCCTATTGGCAAAAGCCATTATTTTAGTCTTCATATAATTTATCTCTAAGCAATTCTGATTACAGTATTGCATAAGAGCACACATAGCTCTCTTAAGTCCCTTAGGGGTCCTAGAAAGCAAGACGGCATCGTCTGCATAAAGCAAGATTGAGATGTGTCTGTCTGCAAGCTTTGGAGGATGAAATTCAGGTTTGTACAAAAACTGTACCATGTCATTGATGTAAATATTAAATAAAAGAGGTGCCAAGATACATCCTTGTTTTACTCCTCTATCTGACCTGATCATCCTAGTAAGATGACCTTGAGGATTACATCGTACCCTAATAAAAGTATTTTTGTGAAGAGCTCTCAATAAAAACAGTAAGCGCCTATCTATCGTAGAAGATTTCAACTTTTCCCATAGGATTGTTCTTGAGACAGAATCAAATGCGGATTTAAAATCTACGAAAGCTGCATACAATGAGGTTAAAGAATTCGAAGAGTATTTGGAAATCAAGTGATTCAATATCACACACTGATCTAAACATGACCGTCCCTCTCTAAAGCCTGCTTGTTCCTGTCTCAAAAGACCTTCCTGCTCCATCCAGTCTTTCAGCTTCCACTGTAAGTGTTTTGAATAAAGCTTACTTATTATACTTAGCAGACTGATCGGCCTATAATTAACAGGATCCTCTCTGTTCCCTTTCTTGTAAATAGGCACTATTATTGCCACCCCCCAGTCTTTAGGTATTCTACCAGTTCTATCTATAGTTGTAAATAAGGTAGCAAGAACTGGAACCCACCACTCGAGGTTCCTCTTGATCAGGTCTGCACATATAAGATCAGAACCTGGGGCTTTGTTGGAACTCAGGGTCTGTATGAGGTTCTTAATTTCTTGAGGATGCACAGGGGACCAAGAGGGTAAGGTAGCTATATCCA